AGCTACATTCCTACCTACCAAACGAAGGTGTTTGAAAAATAAACACAAACTTTTATCCAGCCACAACGGCATGTCACGTAAGATTTAAAAATAGTTAATAATAACAAAAAAGTAACGCACTATCATGAACATAAACATTGAAAAATAAAAAAGCACGTTCAATGAGAAGGCTGACACTCAGACTCATCGATAATTTTTTTAATGTTTGCAGTATAATTTGATACAGCCATTCGAATACAATTATACAAATGTTCATATGTGAGTCGATTGCGATATTTGTTCTTAATAAACTTCATATTGGAAAAAGAAGATTTACACAAATAGGTTGAACTGAATAATGCTTTCACTTTCAAGGCAACACGGCATAGAACTGAATATTTTTTTACTTACAATAGGCCAGATACATTTGGTACTTGAGACTAACGATTGTAAGGCTAAATCATTTTGAAACTCAATTACTTCCATTTCTGTTGCAGCGATGTCTTCGCCAAAGTTCTGCATAACACAAGTTGCAAACTGTTGGATATCAATTTCCATAAAGGGTGAAACAACAAACTGCGCTACTAAAGCCATTTCGTTGAAATCCTTAAAACGATTTTTGAAGTTATTCTTCAGGATAGAAACTATTTCTACATGATATTTGCTGTCATAGGGTTCTAATGGATTTTGAGATATTTTTTCTGAAAGAATAGGAAAATGCTTGGCATCGCTGTTAATTAGGTTTTGTTCCCAAAACTCCAGCTTTTTGATAAATGCTTTTATATCAGAAATCATTTCCGCTAGTTCTTTGTCTCTCTGCTGAAGTTGCAAATTAAGTTCGTTTAATTTCTCTGTAATGTCCACGAGAAAACCAAAATATCTAAGCCAGATTGAATTTTCTAGTTCCGGAGTCGGTTCATCGCGTTGTTTGTAAAATGGAACTATGCCAGATAGGACATCATTAAACCGTTTCAGCACCCGTCCTCTACTTAACCATCGAACTTCAGAGTGAAGGAGTAGGTCCCCGTATTGACAGTCACCTTCATCGGCCAAGGTTTTTAATAATCTTTGTAACGCTTGAGCTCTAATCTTGTTCACAATTTTTACCACCAGTTTCATAACATTGTTTAGTTTCAGGAAATTTCCACATAATGCTTGCTGATGGATAATGCAGTGGTAACAGAGAAATTGCGGAAAAGTTTCATCTTTACGACATAACGCCACCAGACCCTTATCACAACCCACCATAGCTGGAGCGCCATCGGTTGTCAAGCCTACCATTTTCGATATTGGAATTTTCTCGGAAGAAATAATATTTTTTAAATGAGAAAACAACTCCTGTCCAGTAGTGTGTCCTTTCAGTGGAATAAACTTCAAAAGATCTTCTTTAATCGTAAAATCATTAAAAACCATCCTGACGAAAACGGCCATCTGGGCAGTATCAACGACATCTGTTGATTCATCTAAGTCAGTTCTTAACTGTAAAAAAATATCATTGCTCATTACTTCTACACGTCTCATCACTGTATTAGCAGAAAGTTGCATAGATTTTATAGCTGAAACTATCTCGTCTTTATTTCTAAAGTTGGCAAATAACGAATCAGCAGCTTCTAAAAACGCCTGTTTTATCATTTCCCCGTCTTCATAAGGTTTCTTTTTTTTTTGTGCAATTATCTGGGACACACACGATGCTTCAGTTGCAGCCTTATTTTTGTCGACTGTTCTTAAAAATATTGATTGTTGTTTAATTAACTGCTTTTTTAACTGTTTCAGTTTCTCTTTTCTGGCGGCAAAATGTAGTGGGAATGATTTTTCAAAATTAGAATGTACAGTTTTATGATGTCTCTCAATATTTCCTTTTTTAGCAACGGAGACCGAAGTATTACATAACAAATACACATTTTTATCTTTAACTTCTGTAAAAAAGTATTGTTTTTCCCATTCCGAATGAAAGTGGTATGTATTTACCTTCTTACAACTGCTTGCCATAATATTATTTTTTGTTGTTTTCTACTAACCCAACCGCTGGACGTTGGTTACGCGTTCAGTTTTAAACTAAGCGCAATGTCGCCGCGCCGTGCGTATTTATTTCGTTTAAAGCAATCCTGATCGTTCTCGAACACTAACGCGCTGGTTCGGCTGGTCGGTTCTATCCGATTCTAGCTTGATGGCGTCAGCGGCAGATCGCTCACCGCAACGTTGCCGCTGTTTATGTTTAATATTATGACAATTAGATTTTTTTGTGGAATTTTCGGAAGCTTCTCTGATTTTTGCAGTTTGTATTTTTTAAATTAAAATCGTTGTGAGAGCTACCAGAATTGCCTCCGCGAGCTACCGGTAGCTCGCGATTGACAGGTTGGCGACCACTGCTCAACAGAATAGACAGGAAAAATAACTAAATTTATAGAAAACGTTACATAAAACTATCTTAGGAGTCTAAAAAATAAATTACCTTCCCTGTGTAAAATGATAAGGGTGTCAAAAGAAGTCCATTAACAAGAAAAACGTTGTCAAACCCTTTTGTGGATCTGATAACATCACTTTTGCACTACTAACACCGGTAGAATGTAAAATTTAGGATCTGTATAAGCAGTTAAATAAATCTATATATAGAGTGAGTATTAAAAAGATGACGTGAATAATTAATGGATCAAACGACTTACCTAAAGGAAGTTCGATCCTAATTATGCGAGCATCCTTATTAGTGGAAATAAAGATAACCATATAATATACCTATGTTATGCCGCTGACCCAAATGTTCAGATTTAAAATTTTTATGTTATTCTCTATCGCTGCCTGCCTAAATTACTCATTACCTGTTGTAAAGACTAGGAGTTTGGGGTTAAAAATAATATAAAGTAATATGGTGGAGGTATGACTTTATTTCCACTAACAAGGAAGCTCGCATAATTAGGATCGAATTTTTTTCAAGTAGGTCATTTGATATATGAATTAAGCTTCACATTCTTGTTAGTGAAAATAAAGATTACCATGTAGTTCTTTAGAGGATGTTCTATTCAAAATAAAACTAGATTTTTGCTTTCTACGTAAATGTAATATTAATTGAAAATAACACCTAAAGAAATTCTTCTCTTCGCTGCATTTTAATAAAAATTATTGAGTAATAATAAGTTTTGTTGTTCCATCCTAATACACAAATATGAGTATAGAGAAAACACCAATTTTATTTATGCAAAGATCAATAAACTTTTAAATTCTTCTCAAATCTCTTAAACGTATATTCATTATAATCACTTGTTAATACTTAACGATTAGTAACACTATTATATTATTATAAAAGTTTATCTAACTCCACGAATAAAATGAATAAATTCCATCGAATTTCTTCGAAGATATATACACTTAGCGAGTAATGAAAAGTTTCTTTTCAAACACGTAGTTATCTTGTAAGTCATACAATTCCGAAAATGGTAGCTCGTTTTACTTCGATTCAGCCGGAGGCTGCTATATAGTCATCAGCGAAGTTTGGAAACTTCTCGACTCTTTGTGTGACATTCCAGTCTACAGAAATCATATCATTTCGACTGCTCTAATCGTTTTCCCTTAGCTTTAGGTAGGAAATTGGCGATTATTGATCCACTGACACTGGACTGTTGATTTTAAACGATTAAATACCGGGTTAAAGACAGCCAGTATTTCATAGAATGGTTAAAACTCCAAAAATTATACGGTTGAGGACTTGAAATATTTAAAAGTGTTATTATTATTAACATATCAGTATTACAATTTATTTTTACCAATATTATGCTTCACATCCTTATTAGTGGAAATAAAGATAAATATGTAATATAACTATGTTACGCCGCTGACTCACATGTTCAGATTTAACATTTTTATGTTATTCTCTATCGCTTCCTGCCTAAATTACTTATTACTCAATAAAAGCTTCTGCAATGCTCACGGATGTATTACAGATTACATTGTTTCTGATTATTTCTTTGGGATCTTTCTTTCTGTCATTTACACAAATGATTTTGACTACATTCCAAGATATTTTTGAACTATATACTCCTATATATTAATTATTGTAATATTATTTCAATTCTTACGTACACGAATATTTTAATCCACTGGAAAAAACCTCTTTAAATTAAAGACAAAAATTTAATTAGTTATCACCCTCTACGATAATGTCTGTCGACTCTTGATGAGGCGTATAATATTCTCAGCTTATCAGACAAACTATCAACATTTGTCTTCAGAATTTAACTAGTTGATAACTGCATAATAGTCATAATAATGGCAATAATTTTAAGTGGAGATAGATGCTATCACACATTTCACATTAACGCTGGAGTTAAGCTAAGTTTAATCATCATATAACAGGATATCTAGACAGTTGTAGTTATACTTTATGGATATAGTTTAATTTCTTTTGTAAATTTCTTAATAAAAATGGTAGGGTATTATAATAGCAGGTATTTAGTAAATAATTTGTTTTTATGTTATGGAGTGGTACAAGGATTTTTATGTTTTATTTTATTTCTAAAAATTTCTTAAGCCACTATCCGAATGCATAGATTAAACGTTCTAACTGTTGATATCGTAAATAGGAGGAAAAATCCTATAGCAGTGTATTAGGAAAATTAAAAGTAGATGAGCTATAGGGTTTCTGGCGCAGACATGCGCAGACTAACCTACAAGACATACGTTTACGTAAACGAAGGAATATCCACCTAGTCACTGTTGAGCTATCTAAACTAAGGATATTAAAGAAGCCTTTGAAGACTAGAAGACGAAGAGGAGACGTTAAATAAAACTCTGAAGACTAGAAGATGAAGAGGAGACATTAAAGGAACCTCTGGAGACTAGTATACAAATTAACTTCGATTATAAAATAAAAAATGTTCCATTTCCCAATACCATCAAACAAAATTGTAAATATTCAATGTTTGCTACAAAATTACTTGTTTCTGCTCTGTTTAAATATATTAAATACTTTAAATATAATATTTCCTTCAACATGTATTTTAAAAAATAACAATTTTGTTTGTTTGCAGAGTCATCTCATTGTCCACAACGTAACAGCAGGAATTATGCCGCAAGAAGACAAACTTTTTATCAAAAATGTCAAAGAGAATTTAGCAGGTCATTATGCATGTTCTGCTACAAATGTAGAAGGAGAAACGTATAGCGCACCGCTGGAACTCGTTGTCCAATGTAAGTTAAAAATAATTAATATTAACTTTAAAAAACCCTAAAAAAACATTTAAAAAAGCCTAAAAAACCTTTAAAATCCTAAAAAAAAAAAAACTGAAAAAAAAATCAAAAAACCTTTTAAAAAAAAACTTAAAAACTTTTTAAAAAAAAATTAAAAACCTTAAAAAAAACTTTTAAAAAACTTTAAAAATCTCAAAAAAACTTAAAGAAACCTTTAAAAAACCTTAAACAAATACCTTAAAAAAACTTAAAACCTTTTAAAAAAATATTAAAAAACCATTAAAAACCTTTGAAAACTTAAAAAATCTTTAAAAACCTTTAAAAAACTTTAAGAAACTATATAGATAAATTTATTTCCAGTTAATACGAATAATTTATATAGATACTATATCGATTTTCTCTTATCTATTTGTCGATTTCAATTGACTCTTTTGCGTTGCCTATTGCACATTCTACAAAAGTAAAAGAAGAATATACAACTATTGCTCTGGTTTTGGACAAAATTAAATGTGTGGAAAATAACTGGATCATATGTGCTAATTTAAGAATGGTCAACTTTCTTAAACAATATATTAAAGTAATAAATTTACGTAACACTAAAAATATTATTAATACAGTAAAAAGGCATGTCATTATACATGACAATTTTATAAAACTGCAGTAGCTGCGTTTTAGGAAAGAACATGAAACAAATATCGATTTTAAAATATTAAAAGTATGTTTGACAAAAAAAACACGGTGAAATATAAGACCTAACTATTTGATCAGATACTTAAATATACATTGTATTTCTGGTTCTAGAGATTTACAACTTAAACTCACGAAGTTCTTTACTTGCTTTATAAAAACCAACCATCTCTTTACTTTTCAACTTTCAAAAAGTAGATTTTGTCACGAACACAATTAGACTCTTCCAAACTTTACACTGAATTTATTTTAGGATAAAATATAACTGTCCCTCTTACACTTACTATTTATCAGATAAGGGAAATGTCACGAAAAAGTGTGCCATGAAATGTAATTTGTTGCGGTTGCTGGAAATCCTTCTATTTTTGGAAGAAATAAATTATTAAGTGAGTAAAAAGTGTATAAAATAGGTATAAGCAAATGTTGGTATAGTTTTTATTTATTATTGAAGGTAGATAGTGGACATTATAATAATTAAAACTAAAGCAATTGATCTGGTATCATAAAAGAGAGATGAAACACTTTTTTTGTTAACAGATTTTAGCAAACTTAATAAATATCCTAAAATATTTAACCATTAAGTCATTAGCCTTATTTTAACCACCAGTTACCAAAAATATTTAGTAAAATAAGTTATTATCCCTAAATCGACCCTAATTGGACAACTATTGTAATATGACGACTCAAGCCACTGTCGATTACATTCGATTAGACTGCAAAAACATGATTTTTGATGATTAAGTTATTAAGCTCTAGTTAAGAAAATATGACATATGGCCGTTTCATAGTAAAATACAATTTGTTTAAAGTTAACGAATGATCTTATCTGTGGCCCATCGAAAATGGCCGCTTTTATCTTTTCTACACTCAGTTTCGGGAATTTTTTTGATAGAAATAAAAAACAATTTCCAGTTTTGTTAAGACCTTTGACAAACTGTTTTATAAGCCCTAATTCTATATGCAACGGAAGTAAAATTATATGATCTCTTGACACTAAAAGTAAGTTTATCACGTTTTGTTGTCCTGGAACTAGATCTTTTCGAGTAGGCTAATCCTTGTTTATGTTTATCCACTATCCAAATCAAGAACCCACCTCCAAGAGAAAACCAAAGCGAAGTTTACCCTAGGAAGTAAGAATAGAAAGAAAACGAATATACCAGGAATACAATAGAGCATCATCTGCAATTTGTAAATAATACATGCCAGACTGAGAGAATCAATTAGATTTAGACACTTCTACAAGAAATTTTAACGCAAACGCAGTAAAATTACACTTAACACAATACATTTTAATTGTATCAAATTCAAACCTAGATGAAATAGTATTCAATGCCGACATTTCTACTACTATATAGATGGTTGTACCACCATTCGATGTCAAGAACCTGTGCATTCTCTCAAAAACTACTAAAAACCGTCCTTTAATCAATTCAATGTTGATTTTTAGCTCTACTATCTCACACGCAAAGAAAACAAGGATACTTTGTGTAACCACCTTGCTGGCCCAATAGATTCAGTTATTTTCCACATATTTAATTTTGTGCAAAACCAAAGCAATAGTTGTATATTCTTCTTTTACTTTTGTAGAATGTGCAATAGGCAACGATCCTAATTTATTTCCATTGTGTAAGAGAACACATTTTATACTCCGTTTTGATGAGTCTATGAATAAACTCCACTCAATAGAAACATAATTTTGTAATCCCATTGCAGCCATCAATCTAGGTACATCTTTACAAAATACGAAATTGTCTTCTTCAGTAAAAAATTTAAGGAAATTCTGTTCTCTTGTGCGGTAATAAGAAATTTTAGTTTCTCTAGTTACAATTTTTTTTTTCTTTTAGCCTTGATGCCAAAATTTCTGAAGCTGACTTTGACAGTCTCAGATTTCTAAGTCGTTTAAATCATCTTTATTAAATGTTTTTGGCTTTCCCAGGTCGCATTCAAAGTCACTATCACTACTGTCGTTTGTCGTCTAAAAATCTTCTGGCTCTTCCTGTAAAGTACTAGATTGAGGTGTAGACTTAGGGCTTAGGACACGTCTATGTGCCGATTGTATGGAAGGATATTCCCATTTAACTCGATTTTTTTGATTAATACCAGTTATGTCCACCAAACAAAAACAACAATCATCATGGTGATTTATGGATTCATTCCAAATCATAGCTGTCTTTTCTTATTTGTCCATAAACATAGGAACTCAACGCATGCTTTGCATACCTTTTGTGGAATCCAAGGCTTATTCTTCATTTCCAGCGGGTTCCCAAAGTAATTTTTGTAAGTCTCATTTACGAACGTTGTTATATTTAAGGAGGTCCTTTCGCCACCAATGTTAAATAAAAAATATTAGATTATGACTAAAATTAATTTTTTTCTAATAGTTGACTTCAACTATTAGAAAAAAAATTCTTTTTTCCTGCCAAACAGCATAACATGAGATTTAGAGTCATTTATATCTAAGCAATAGTCATTAGACAATTTAAAAAGTACATTTAAATCAGAATTTACTTTGGCTATGCTTTCTTCAAGTTTACAAGCAGGAAATGAAAGGTAAATCTGAGTATCATCCACATATTGGTGAAAATTGCAATACTTCAGTGATTTTGGGAATAAAGATGTATAGATGCAAAACAATAAAGGCCCCAAAATAGATCATTGAGAGACTCCATTTTCTATTTCTAGTGAAGAAGATAATTTATCTTTATATTTAACATACTGATGCATTCTATTTTTAAGATAGTTATCTATAAGACATTTCGCATTTTTATTAAAACCTAGGTGATGTAATAGCCCTAGTAGCGTTGCATGATTTATTCTGTCAAACGCCTTACTATAGTCTAATAGGACTAAAACTTTAAGGTGATTTTGGTCAAATGCTCTAATAATATCGTCAATGACTGAGAGTAGGGCAGTGTTTCAACTGTGGTTGGGACAAAAACCTGGGCTCGTCTGACTATGTGTCTCCGAATAACACTGAAACCTATTGGCTTATTGTGTTTTACCCCATGTTAGTTCATAGCACCCACTCTATCACCTTTGTACCTTGTACAAGTTTGTACAGATCCTAGGGTGAGTGGGTTCTATACGTTGTTGGATCAACCTGGGGTTGTCCAAAAAGAGCCTGTCTTTTGCGATGTATAGCTTCGCATTCGCACATTATGTGTTTGGCCGTTTCTGGTTTCATGTGACATAGTCGGCACATGAGTTCCCCATTGTACATGCCAATTTTGTTCAAGTGTCCCTTTACTGGGGCGTGCCCAGTCATGAACCCTGTTATCACTTTCAACTGGTTCCTATTCATTAAGAGTAGTTCTCCAGTTCTTTTGGGACATGGTCTGCCTATGAAGGCTTTTCCATGTGCCTGTTTTGGGGTGCTTCCCCAATAGTTGATATGTTGTTCCCGAATCCAGTCATTTATAAAACCCCGGACTGTACTTTTTGGTACTCCTGGGTTTGTGTCTGGCATTATTTGAATATGCTGATATTCGACAGCTCTTTCATTGTTCGTTTTTGCACATTGCAAAATTGCGTATACCTCGGCCTGAAATACCGAGGAATGTATTCCTATAGCATAGCTATGGTTAGTATCAGGGTTTTTGGAGAATACTCCTGCCCCAGTGCCTTCCGCAGTCTTAGACCCGTCTGTTTACCAGGTTTGTTCCTGTCGTTGGGCATTGGGCTCCCTTATGGTGATTTCCGCTCTTTCCTGTATTAAAACATCAAAGGGAGTATTAAAAAAGTACCTCTTGGTTAAGTGGTCTGATTTCATGTCTAGCACGTCTCCTGTCACTAACCTTGAGATACTCATGAGACCTGGCCTAATGTCAAGATTTCCCAGTGTATTCCCTAATCTGTAAGCACCTAATTTTGCCTCCCCTTATATCACATAGTGAAGAGGTGGGAGTCCTATTAGTGCTTTTATTGCAGCAGTAGGGGTTGTTTTCATTGCCCCCGTTATTCCGAGGCAGGCAAGTCTTTGTACCTTGCTAAGCCTCATTATTGCTTTCCTTTGCTGGGTCTTTGGCCACCACACCAAAGCTGCGTATGTTATTATGGGTCTCACCACCATGTTATAAATCCAATATACCATGTCTGGTTTTAACCCAACCAGATTGATTAATAGGAATAATATTATAATAATCTAGAAAGGTTTTTATTTGTTGATAAAGAACTTTTTCCATAACTTTAGAAGCTGCGAAAAGAATACTTAGAGGCCTGATATCTTTAAATTCATTTGGATTTTTTATTTTGGCCAATGGAATTACTTGCGCAACTTTCCATTGTGATGGAAAAATTGCGGTACTGATAGAACT